GAGTGCAGTGGCGTGATCTCGGCTCACTTCAAGCCTTGCCTCCCGGGCTCAAGCGATTCTCCTGTCTCGGCCTCTCGAGTAGCTGGGATTACAGGCGCCTGCCACTGTGCCTGGCTAATTTTTGTATTTTTTAGTAGAGACAGGGTTTCGCCCTCTTGGCCAGGCTGGTCTCGAACTCCTGACCTCATGATTCACCCGACTTGGGCAGTAATTTTAGGGAACCACAGTATCTGATAGCTTAAAAGTAATGAAAAGCTATCTACTGTTACATGTTGCTGTAAAATCTGCCATTTATCCAGATGCCTAAACTGAGTTGCTCTGTGTAGTAAACACACTGATGGTTACACCTTGAAATCATGAAGCAAAGTCTTTGTATAAGGGCTGCGAACTTAGTTTATCCTACCTCAGAAAACGGGCTCTGCCTGCTCTGGGGACTTGCAGGACACAGGAAGCCTGGGTTTGTCGTTGGTCTCATCTCTCATGTGATTTCCGCCTCGTCATTCATACTGCATCTTTCCACACACCTTCTCTGCCGAGGAAATGGACATCGCTGCTCAGGCTTCCAAATTTAGCTTTTCAGTCCGAGTGGGTTAGTGTGTGTGAGAGTTTCTTAAGGAAAACTAGCATGTGACAAAGGTTAGGATTCCAACAAAGTTCTCTGCCTGGCGTGAGAAATTCTGTTACTCTCATGTAAGTATGGTCCTACCCTAGCAAGTTTTACCTTCTGTTCAACTCAGCCTGTCTTTACTAGTTCTGTATTGTAGTATGTGGAGAAAAAGAATTTCGGATTATAATTTTTTCTTCCTATTTTTATTAAGGGTCTGAATATGAAGGACCAGCATATTTCTTGCTTTTTTTTTTTTTTTTTTTGAGACAGTGTCTTGCTCTGTCATCCAGGCTGGCATGCAGTGGCGTGATCTTGGCTCACTGCAACCTCTGCCTCCCGGGTTCAAGCACTTCTCCTGCCTCAGCCTCCCGAGTAGCTGGGATTACGGCCTCCCAAAGTGCTGGGAGTACAGGTGTGAGCCACCGTGCCCAGCCGAGGACCAGCATATTTCTTATGACTAATTTGGACATCTATATTAAAGTAATATTTAAAACTTAGATCCTAATTTTTAAGACTTGAAATGTTTGTAAAACTTTAACCAAGGAGAATTTTCTGCATTTAGCAGTAGACATTGATTTTGGAATATTTATATTATTCAAAACTGCTGACCTTATATCTGTTGTAAAACTTGAGCAATGGAAGTCTTAAGAGAGAAGGTTTAAAGGAAACTTTGATAAATTAAAAGTTGGGGAAAAAAGGAAGGAAAATAAGTAGCCTAAAACAATCCACGTAAGAAAAGAAGTTCCCAAGGACTCTGTATAATTTTTATAGAGCCCTTCTACTGGGTCTTAGAAATGTGGGCTAGGAGTTTCAGAAAATTCTTCTTTAAATGTCACTAGGTGCTTGTCAGTGATGAATACATTTTAAATACTGATTCTGATTTTCTTAAAAATAGGATTTTCCCAGAGGCAGAGGAGTCAACCATTCTTGCCACTAGTAGACTGATGGTCTAGTAGCCTGAAAGTATTATTGTTTGAGTTTAAAAGTCATAATCCTAATTTACCATTAGTCAAGTGTGACTTTTGCGTTGATGTGTTTTGTCTTTTAACCAGTAAGCATTTACCAGTGATGGGACAACAGCATAGGGCATTAGAATCCCTGGAATCCTTTTTTGTAGTTCATTTGGTTGTCAAGTTCCGTTTGTACTTTTTGAAGTGTACCTGGCTAGAAATTTTTTATGGAATGGCCCTGTTTTTCCTTGTTGCTGTTTTTCTTCTGGTGTCTGGTATGGATATAGCCACTCTAGCATTCCTTGATTGACATTAGTATGGTAGGTCTTTTCTATCCTCTTTTAACTCGTTTGTGTTTTCGTATTTAAAGTGGATTTCTTGTGAGCAGTGTGTAATTGGGTCTTGCTTTTCTTATCCAATCTGAAAATTTCTGTCTTTTTTTTTTTTTTTTGAGATGATGTCTCACTCTGTTGCCAGGCTGGAGTGCTGTGGCGCGATCTCAGCTCACTGCAACCTCTGCCTCCTGGGTTTAAGCGATTCTCCTGCCTCAGCCTCCCGAGTAGCTCGGACTACAGGCGTGCGCAACCATGCCAAGCTACTTTTGTACTTTTAGTAGAGACAGAGTTTCACAGTGTTGGCCAGGATGGTCTTGATTTTTGACCTTGTGATCTATCCGCCTTGGCCTCCCAAAGTGCTGGGATTACAGGCATGAACCTCCTCACCCGGCCCAGTTTCTGTCTTAATTCAGAGCGTAGCCCATCTACATTTAAGAGGTTAATGATATAATGATATGATTAAATTTAAATTCTTCATCTTGCTGTTTGTTTTCTGTTTGTCTCTTCTGTTCTTTATTTTCTTTCCCTTTTCCTTCCTTTTGTTTGGGATTAAATGTGTATTTTTATCTCCTTTTTTTGACTTATTAGGTATAACTCTTTGTTTCTGTTTTTTAGTTGTGCGTTAGGGCATGCTTCTCCAGCCCGTGGGCCACATGCCGCCCAGGATGGCTTTGAATGCAGCTCAACACAAATGCGCAAACTTTCTTAAAACATTATGAGTTGTTTTTTTTTTTTAAAAAAAGCTCATCAGCTATCGTTGGTGTTAGTGTATTCTATGTGTGGCCTAAGACAGTTCTTCCATGTCCAGTGTGGCCCAGGGAAGCCAAAAGATTGGACCCCCTTTCTTTAGGCTTTTCAGCTGACCCTCTCACTGTAGTGGAGTCCGTGTAATTCACAGAGCAGCAAACCTCTTGACCTTACAGCCATGCCCTCCCATTTACAGCCATGCTCTCCCATCTACAGCCATGCTCTCCCATCTACAGCCATGCCCTCCCATTTACAGCCATGCCCTCCCATTTACAGCCACATTTACAGCCATGCCCTCCCATTCTCCACTTCTGGCCTGTGCTGTTGTCATACATTTTAATTCTACACAGTCATAAGCCTCACAATACATCGTTGTTGTGTTTGCTTTAAACAAATCATTTTTAAAAAGAGATTAAAAATAAGAAAAACGTGTTTTATGTTTATTCAGTATTTACCATTTACAGTGCTTCTTATTCCTTTATGTCAATCTGGACTTTCCTTCTGCCTGGATATTCCTTTAGCATGTCTCGTACAGGTCTGCCGATGATGAATTTTTTTCAGCTTTAGTATGTTTGGGAAAATCTTATTTCACCTTTATTTATGAAAGGTATTATAGATTTCGGGATTGATGGGGTTTTTTCCTTTCTGTGTTTTAAAGATATTCTCTCTTCTGGTATACGTTTTCTGTGGTTTTTATCATCATCCTTCTGTGTGTAATAAGTCTTTCTCTGGCTGCTGTGAAGATTTTACTATTGGTTTTAAGCAAGTTGATTGCAATATACTTTGGTGTAGATTTCAAACTTCTTGTACCTGAAATTTATCAAGCCATTTTGTTAAATGTTTTCTTCTCCCTTTCGCCCTTTTCTTCAGAAAGTGTCTAGCCAGCTGTTTATTTTATTTAGTGTAGTTTTAATTTCAGACACTGTATTTTTCATCTCCAGTGAAGTTTGATTTGGATCTTTTTAAAAAATCTTCCATGTATGTTTAACATGCTCAGTCTTTACCTTTTATGGGATATGGAATATACATGCAGTAAACGTTTTATGTGTATTAAGTCTATCGTCTCTATCATTTCTAGGTCTAATCTTTTGCATTATAGGTCATATTTTTCTATTTCTTTGCATGCTTTGTGATTTTGGAGGAGATGCTTGGCGTTTTAAATTTTACTTTACTGAATATTTTTGTATTCTAATAAATATTCTTGAGCTTTGTTTTGAAATGCAGTTAAGTTACTTGGAGCCAACTTGTTAGGTGGAATCAGAGCAGCCTTTTCTCGAGGGCTCATTTTCCCCACAGCTGAAGCAGTGCCCTTCTGAGCACTGTCCCTGCTATCCTGTGGGTTTAGGAGAGTTTCCCACGGTGGCTAGTGGGAAAACAAACCATTCTGGTCTTGGTGAGCCTGCCCTGGGCTTGTTCCCTCTCCTCCTTCAGGCGGTTGTTTTCCAGGCTGGAGATGTGGGGAAGGCCGTCTCAGGCTTACCCTGCGGGCTCTGTGGCCCAGGCACTGAGGGCCACCAACCCCCCGCACCCCGTTCATGTCCCTCTCAGGGATCACACTCGTGTACATGCTGGGGTTCAGGGCCTGAAACCGTTCTTCATGTATTTTGTCTTTGTTTTTTAAATTGAGTCATCTGGGAGAGTAGATGTAGTCCATCATGGCCAGAAACAGAAGTCCAAGCAATGTTTTTATTTTTATTTTTTAAAGTTGTGAAATTATCAGCCCAGAAAATGGCATGATAGTTTTCACATTAATTCAGCTTAATGGTATCTTGAGAGCAGGGGAAGCTGTCAGCTGTGAACTGTTTTTCTCTATGGCATTGTGATTGATTCTGGAAGCCCTGCTGAACCCTCATCCTTTTTGGAAGAGAAATTTACTAGGCATCATGGTATGTTCGTTTGTTTAAGGATCATTCCTTAAGATAATGCATTTGTTAAAAAATTTTTGGTGAGGACAAAAAGTGGCATTGTTGAGAATTAATTTCTAACATCTCTATTTCCTGTAGGAAGTAGAAGCACTATTTAAAGGAGATAATTTACCAAAATTTATAAACTGTGAATTTGCATATAATGATAATTGGTTTATTACATTTGAAACAGAAGCTGATGCACAACAGGTAAGTTCTTTCCACCATCACCCTATGAATTGCATAGTTTACCAGTTTTTAGTATTAGTGCATGTTGGGACTAAACTTGGGCATTGAGATTATTTGTGATAGTAAGTTCGAATATAATCTGCAGAGGAAATCAAGTTGTAGAAACTTAAATGAGTGTATTTGTATGGATAATTTTTATAGCAATATAAAAAGCATGTGATTTTACTTTCTAAGGACAGCAAGCTAAGCAACCTAGGAAAATCAGTTTTGTTCTTCTGTCTGGGCAGAGAAAAGTTTTACTATTTGCAAAGTGTTGGGGGGAAATTTGAACCTAATCTTCATCTCCCAGCAGACTTCATTGTATGTTGGAAGATGCTTTTAATGGTATTGAGAAGTAAGCTCTGTAAGGAAGTATAAGGAGTTAGTAGTTTTCCTGCCCTTAAGGGAAGGAAACATCTTATTTGTGGGAAAACTAACACATGTATTATAAAGTGTTAAATGGTATAAACAATATCTGGGGTTCAGAAAAGAAAACACAGAAACCTGAAAGATGGGTTTGAATTGGATGGCGGGGAAAAGGGGGACGGAAGATAGAGTAACCATGTTTGTGGAGCTGAGCGTGAGCTCTGCCAGCCTGCGCGGCGAAGGTGATTGGATGAGACTGTATCAGAGGTGCAGGGCCTTCACGGTTTTATAGGGGTTTAATGTAGAATTAGTGTGGAGAAGAACAAGGAGATATGTAAAGAATGTTATGATCCTAATCCTTTTCCTTCCTGTCTGGTATTTCCTGAACTGCATACTCCTAATCTGAAATTGGGATTAATACTAGGAACTCAGTATTCATCATTTTCCACCAGGTCAAGGTTCTTAGCCAGTGGTCTTTGGGAGACATCTATGGCATCTATTAATACTTACAAAACTGTGTACAAATCTTGTTTGTGAGAATTTGGGGTACACGTTCCATAGCTCTTATGAGGTTATTTTAAGGGATCTGTGACCCAGGGGGTGTCAAGAATCATTATTCTAAGTTCTGTTCACCATAATTTAAATATATATTTCCCTATTTGAGCTATTGAGTGAACTATTGGTGCCTCTTATTCATAAGGTTAATCGAATGGAATTTTGTACTTAATTTTGCCCTTAGGCTTACAAATACCTTCGAGAAGAAGTCAAAACTTTTCAAGGAAAACCAATTAAGGTAAGCAAGACCATTGGTTATTCTTTGTTTATTTGCAAATTGATGTTCTTAAGTATTCTAATAGAAACTTACATATTTTCACACAGGCGCGGATAAAAGCAAAGGCAATAGCTATAAACACATTTTTGCCAAAGAATGGATTTAGACCCCTGGACGTGAACCTGTATGCCCAGCAGCGCTACGCGACATCGTTCTACTTCCCTCCCATGTACAGCCCCCAGCAGCAGTTCCCCCTGTACAGCCTGATCACGCCCCAGACGTGGTCAGCAACGCACAGCTATCTTGACCCACCCCTGGTACGTCTTTACTAGGAATTTATGTTGTAGACACTATGCTAGATAATTTGAAGGATTAAAATCCTCATCTAATAGGAAGCCAGATATGTGTGCAGTCTGACATAGTAAAATAGACCTTCAAGTTATGTGGGGGATTTTAAATTTAGTTGAGAACAGATCTTATGCATAAAGAACTTTGGATTGCTGTGATCACAATCCTCCCCTCTCCCCTCTCCCCTCTCCCCTCTCCCGAGCTCTTGTCATGCAGCTCTTAGCAAGATACAGAGGGCGGTAAGAGCTGTAGTGTACCTGGTGTCCCCTACACAGAGGACAATGCAAGGGGATTAACCGAGGAGGAAGAGGTGTTTAATAGGCTTCTGACAGCAAGGCCGAGGAGAAGGCCTGCTCTTTCACCAGCCTTATTTTACTCACTTCTCACCAGCCTTAGAGTTGGTTGACATGATTAATTTTTATGGATTTTGGCCTTTGTTAAGGCTGTGGTTGGAATTCATAAGTCTGTACTGGATCTTTGTGTGCTGCTATAGATGCTTGAAAGATCAGGTGGGTCCTGGGTGGGAATTAGCATGAGTTTGGTGGCATTGGATGCACAAGAGTCAGCAATACACGGATGAGCATGTCCTTGAAGCTGCAGTCTAGTTGAGAAGTGAAGATGGGTTCACGGACTAGAGGTTTGCATGAGGTAGCAATGCAGGTTAGTTGGAATTGGAGAGATTGAAGGGTAGTATCCATAGAAGGTTATGGTCAGGAAGCAGAAATTGAGTTAGTAGCTTTGAAGAGTTCATGTCCAGGGTTTCGCTGTGGACTAAGGGAAGACTGGGTGGTCCTCGGGGTCGGATGGCTGGGAGCCAGGCACCCTGATGGGCAGGGACGTCACTGCTGACAGGCAGAAAAGGAGGGTAGGTTCAGAGTAGAGTGAACTCGAGAAAACAAATGCCTGTATACGGAAAGTGAAGATATGGGCCCATCAAACAACTCAGGCTGGAAAAGTCAAACATGCCAAGGAGACACGCGTACAGAATGTGTACAGAATGGCAGAACACAGACCAACAGGGCTTATCAGGGATGGTGGTGTTGTCTGGGTTGAGCTTTTCGGGTTAAGTACGAGTTTTTCAGAAGGAAGTTTCATGAACAGAAGATGGTCGTGGATTCAGGGGTGTTGGAGCTGAAGCGTAGACAGGTGGCAGGGAGTTGGGGAGCGAGCTGGAAGTTTCCAGGCCTAACTGCACAGGTGCTTAGCTGTCCTGAGGCTTGTGGGCTTTGGCCTAGTGCTTGTGGGAAGTAGTCTGAGGTTTCTAAGCAGAGAAATGAAACCATACTCCATTTATAAAATAGCTCCTAAGGCCGTGTGAATTGCAGGCGGGGACAGGGAGAGATTTTCAGAGGCCCCCAGTACCCCTTGAGCCTGGAACCACAGCAGTAGAAGAACCTTTGGTAAAGTTACGTCTGTCTCTTTTGAGTAAGTCCTAATGGTAAGAAAGTTTCTGGTTTTTGAAGTAGTACATCTGTAAAAGTGTACCCATAGCTGAGTACTTCCTTTTCCCAAAAGCACATCATGAGAGAACCTCAGAGAGACTTTAGTGCATAGGCGCTGGGTGTTGAAGAATCGTCGCTGCACGTGGCTTGCCGTGCTTGTCCTTTTAGTTCTTCCTGCAGCAGTTGCTTCTCCCATTTCTTTAATCATGGTTGACCCTCTTGGGGATCCTTGGGGTCCTGGGTCAGCTTATGGCCTTGACTCGTGTTGTATGTTCAGACTGCGGTGTGTGCCAGCCAGCTGGTCCTGCTCTGACTCTTGGAACTGGGGCTCCCCATCGCAGCCTTTTACTTGCTCTAAAATATGTGTGTCCTTTGTTCTGCAACTGAAGAAGTCATGCCTATTAATCCCCAACAAGTAATAACAGGAAGTTATAGCATTAATAATCAACTTTATTTTTTATATATGACCAATTTTTTTATCTTGAGCAAATTTACTGGAATATCAGGGCTCTGTCTGTAAAATGACTTGCTTGAAATGAATAGTCCTCATTGCTCTTCCCATGATTTACAGCCTCAGATCTAGGTCTGCATCCACGGCTCCTCCTGTGTGGTGTATTTTTTTTTTTTTTTTTTTTGAGACGGAGTCTCGCTCTGTCGCCCAGGCTGGAGTGCAGTGGCCGGATCTCGGCTCACTGCAAGCTCCGCCTCCTGGGTTCACGCCATTCTCCTGCCTCGGCCTCCCGAGTAGCTGGGACCACAGGCGCCCGCCACTGCACCCGGCTATAAGTAGAGACGGGATTTCACCGTGTTAGCCAGGATGGTCTCCATCTCCTGACCTAGTGATCCGCCCGCCTCGGCCTCCCAAAGTGCTGGGGTTACAGGCGTGAGCCACCGCGCCCGGCCATGTGTGATGTATTTTTAAAGAATCCGATTCTTACAGCGTATAGAGTCTCTCGAGTAGCAAATTGGAGATTCTAACTTGCCTTTTGTATGATTTTATTTTGGTCGCAAGCTATCTCTAATACTCTTTTTCTGTTACATCTTCCAGTTAGCTCTCATTAAGGAGAATTACTTGCTTTTTTCCTTTTCTTTCTCTTTTTCTCCGAACGAGGAGAGGGCTCTGTGCCTGTGTCTGTCACTTTAGTGACATTGAGGGTGTGGACTGTAAGGCCCTCAGGAACTAAGCGCCCTGCGTCAGGAGCATTAGGAGCAAAATGTTAGTGATTCAGAATGTATTGGAAACCATGGATCCAGAAGCCAGAGAATTAGAGTGATTGATCTTGGTTTTTGTTTGTTTGTTTGTTTTTTGTTTTTCTTTAAAGGAACTGTTTTAACACTAAGTTTTATCTTACTTTTGTATGTGTCTAGATTTTAAAAACATTTGGCCGATACTTAAAATTCTATGCTCAATATTTTTAACTGCTTAAGATCTTTTAGGGATTCTGTGGCCCTTTCTAATTTTCTTCTGAATCTTATGTTAGTATATTTGCATGCCATGTTTACCTTGTGACTTGGGGAATAATGATGACATGAAAATACCCTGGTCTGCAGAGCAGGACTTGTGTCGAGGTAAAGTAAAGGCGCTGTCAGTCTGTGGTTGGATCAAGCCGAGTGAGCAGCAGTAGGGTTAGTGCAGGTGCAGGTGCTCCTGAGATTGAGAACGTTGATGAGTTGTATTAAAGCCATCAGGAATCAAGACCTGTTGACTTCCTGCGAGCGATGGAGGTAGTATCAGACTTACGTGCTAAAGGTTACAACACTTGTTGGAGCCCACGCACTCTTGACCACGTCTTTCCTCTCAGTGCCAGTTTCCACGTGTCAGTTCTCCTTGCTGGATTGTTGTAAGGATTGGCTGAAAGGATGCACGAAAGCTCCAGCCTACTTCTAAACAGCACCCATTGGCGATAAAATTGTAAAATACGTGTCTCAGCATGAGTCGTGACTCTGACAACATCAAGAAATGCCGTCGGTCTCCACAGATTTGTTGGTATTAATGAAATTGAAGTCTGTTTTATGGTTTCTTTACTTGTCTGTTTTCAAATGAATCTAGGTAACTCCATTTCCAAATACTGGATTTATAAATGGGTTTACGTCTCCAACGTTCAAGCCTGCGGCGTCTCCTCTGACTTCTCTCAGACAGTATCCTCCTCGAAGCAGGCAAGTTCCGGGGCGTTCCTAGTGCTTTTGGTCTTTACGCTATTGCCCTTCCGGAGCTGGGATGAGAGAGCTTTGATCACTAATCCTGCTCCTTGCAGACGGAGCCACTTGAAGCACACAGCTGCATTCTGTGAAGACTAAGCACTGCCATCTGGCGTGGGTGCCTGCCTCAGATTCTCTGAGAGGAGGCTCTGGGGCAACTTGTACACATCAGGTGTGCCTGATTTTAATTTGGGCCTGGACGGAAAAACAGCAGAATCGTGGCACATTGTTAATAGATTTGTATTATCCTATGTGGTAGGAGTTAACCATCCCAAATCCTATTTTTATATTTTATTAAATAGAAAGCAGATTTCAGCTTAGCTATTCCCTGTCAGTATGCATGTTATGTCATGCCTTGATCATTTTATAATTGAACACATGAAACCATTTTTATTTACAGGAATCCTAGTAAATCTCATCTGCGGCATGCAATTCCTAGTGCGGAGAGAGGACCTGGGTTATTAGAAAGTCCTTCAATATTTAACTTCACTGCAGATCGATTAATTAATGGTGTCCGGAGTCCACAAACAAGGCAAGCAGGTCAAACTAGAACACGGATACAAAACCCTTCAGCATATGCCAAGAGAGAGGCTGGGCCTGGGCGCGTGGAGCCAGGCAGTCTTGAATCTTCTCCTGGTTTAGGGAGGGGAAGGTGAGTTGTTGAGCAGCCACTGTGTACCATCGTAAACTACTAATATTTTTAAAATTCTTTAATTTAGGTCTGTTTTGTAATTGTCTTTAAGTATATCACAGAAAATCTAATTGAAGGCTATAAACATAAAGGGTTTTATGTAATTGTTGAGACTTAAATGGCTTCATCTTTTTTGGAATATGAAATGGTTCAGTGAGAACTGTAGATGTTTTAGATCATTGTCTGTAGAAACATTGGCGCTCAGCAGTCATAGACTTCATGCCATGTGCCTGCAGTCTCCTCTTGGCAGCATCCCTGGCTCACCAGGCCCCTCTGCGAGAGCAGTGTCCAGGCTCTGCCCCATGGCTGCTGGCCTGGTGCCCTCCAGCGGGGTGTGCACCAGGCACTGCAGGTGGAGCCTGGAGCGGGTAACCAGGCAGATCAGGATTGAAGTCTGATCTCACTGGAGGGTTGAGACTAGCCAGGATGGGTCGTGGTTGTGCTTCCTGCCCACTGTTTTTGGTTTTAATATTTTTTTGGCATCAATCCTGTAGTTGGTTTTTTGTTTGTTTTTAAGACAGGGTCTTGCTCTGTTGCCCAGGCTGGGGTACAGTGGCACGATCATGGCTCACTGCAGCCTTGAACTCCTGGGTTCAAGCAATCCTGTTGCCTCAGCCTGCTGAATAGCTGGGACTTCAGTGCACACCACCATGCCTGGCTAGTTTTTAAATTTTTTGTAGAGACAGGATCTCGCTGTGTTGTCCAGGCTGGTCTTGAACTCCTGGCCTAGAGCCATCCTCCGGCCTCCGCCTTCCATAGTGCTGGGATTACAGGCGTGAGCCACCGCACCCGCCCATTGTTGATAAGGCCAGTCCTTGCCTTGATAAGGACTGTCAGGATTTCCCTTTCATAAGTGACAAACAAGTGACTTGAATTCCTGAACTTTTTCTGAGTTTTCTGTACACAAAATGTATAGCACTGTGCCTCATGTGCAGACCCCTCTTCCTGCTGTCCCCATGCACACGCTCTGTGCAGTGAGAATTCAACATGAAGAGGCATCAGAAGCATCTCATTCCTGCCCATAATGATTAAATGAGCACATAGGAGTTGCTGCAGGGATTGTGCAGTGGCCTTGGAAGGCACCATGGTCTGGGAGAGCTGGCACTGGGCTGTCTCACAGGAAACATGGCGTCAGGCTGGCTTAACAGGCCTTGGAGATGCAGAGCCAAAAGGGGCCCACTGTGTCATGCAGAGTCACTGACTTCAGGGAGCAGTTGCTAGCCCTGGGTCTCAGTTTGGGGTTCTTAAGGCCCAGAAGCTTGGAGGGAGGAGGGCTGCAGAGCTGGGGCTCAGACTTGGGACAGAGCCCCACTCATCAAGGCCATGTGGCTCCCTCTGAGGGGCATCAATTGTGGGCATGGTGTGGAAGGAGGCAGACTAAATGGACAAGACCCCTGGCCTCAGCCTCCTGTGCCCTTCAGTGTGCCCTGTTCCTATGAGCGTCACAAGAAGCTTCCTGGCAATGAAAGTGGGGCTTGTGGAATTCCAGCTCCCTCACACAGTGTCTACCGGTGGCTTTGAAGCAAGAGTCCAGCGCTTGCTAATGAGTGTGCTCCACCCAGGATACCCTTGAACAATACCTGAACTTGCAAATGCTGCAGTGGTAACAAGTCTATGCTTTGGCCTAACAGATGCAGATTTTGCACCAATGGAGACCCTCTGTCTCCCCACCAAGGGAGGACAACTGTCCTCCCACCTGAAACCTGAGCACTGCAGCAGGGAGTGGTTTAGGAAGCGTACACTGCTCAGTGGGCGGGGAAGGTGCATGCCGCTCCTGCAGCCTGTTTCTGCAACGGGTCCTGAAGCCAGAGCTGATCTTCATAACGTCGTCCTTCCCTCTGTGTTGAGAAAGAGCTTGTTCTGTTTCGCAGGGAGTGCCCCAGGCCTTGCTTGCCCTGAGAACCTGATCCCCAGCAGCCTCCACCTCCCCTTTTTGGGAGGGTTTGTGTTGTTTCCATTAACTTTCTCTATTGGGCCAAAGTGCTAAGATACCCTGGAGAACCCCTTACCGAAGTCCAGACACACGTCCCTACCCTTGCATGGCGGCCATGGCAGGGCACAGCCCAGCCGGGTTGAATGGCGTGAGGAGCCCCAAGTGCCAGGTGGCTGCCTTGGTGGAGCTACTGTTAGGGTTATTTGGGGGAAGCACACCTCTTCAGGGTCTCCTCACACCACCGCATTCAGAGTCGCAGGTGTCACCGTGGTATTTCTGTGGTGCTGGCCACCACCCTGGGTCCCTTGCTACCTCTTCTGAGCTGGAACCCGCCATGGCCCTGTCGGTGAGCCTTGGCTTGGCCAACCTGCTCTCTGCATGATGGGCACTGACGTGTTCTGCAGCTGCAGGTGGGCTTCTGGGTCCGACACGGGTTACGTGGAGCCCAGTGAGGGTGTGGGGAGTGTTGACTGGGCCCACTGATGGTGACTGGGATAGGACTCCATGGCAGGCAGGTCTGTGTCCTGGACACCACTGTGTTCCAAGGGATGGGTGCCCCTGTGTCTCAGCCGGTAGTGACGAGCAGGCTGCCTTTGGCGGAGGGATGCCCTCTGCCGAGCCCTGCGGGATGTCCTCTTCCCATGTGGCTGCTGTCCCTCACTCAGGACAGTGCCTCTGGGCAGGCAGGTGCTGGCACCATCCATCTCACACCCCTCCCAGGTCCCCAGGGCCAGTTGAGTCCTGTCCCACTCCGGACTCTCATCCGGTTGCGTTCCTAGCTCTGTTCATGAGCCATGGTAGCCCCACCTTTCCACCAGTTCTGAATCGTGGCACCGCGGAGTGGGCGTTCAGCTCCCTGGGTTTCCGGAGCGCACCCTATTAGGGAGTGGTGCTGAGCCAGGTGTGTGCTGGGATGGCTGTCCATAATGCAGGCCCAGGTCCCTTTCTCCCTGTGAGGCCGCAGGCAGGGATCCAGGACAAGGAGCACCAAGGCCCCTGTTCCTGCAGGAGGGTGGGTTGTCAGGACTCGTGCCCCACCTGTGGCTCAGTACTCACCCATGTCCCATAGTCTGGCTTGCAGTCTCCGCAAGGCCCCAGTAGAAAGCCAGGAGCTATTTCCAGGAAGTTTTCTGTAGGAGATAATAGGGATTTGCTCCAGAATCCTAAAGGTTTGTGCCATCCTTCCCCTAGAGGGGCTGGCCCATGGTTCCACGGAGTGTTCCAGTGTTAGGCCATCTCAGGCAAGACTACTTTTTGGTTTTCTGTAAATGAAGGGATTAGTCAAGACTATGTCTGAACTCCTTTCTAAGTTATGTAAGGCAAGGCTCTTGGGGGAGTCTTTGCATTCCATTAAATTATAAATTGAGATTAATGTGTGTCATGTGACTTGTTAGTCCGCATAACCCTGTCCAAGGAAATGGGAATGCCTTGGCCATCCTAGTGTCCCAGGTCTCTACGTGAAGTCACCACTTAATCAGTGTGTGTCCTGTGGTTATCAGCTGCGTGTGTGGCATGGCCTTGCTGCCTGCAGGGGGAGGTCCAGAACGTGGTTCCGGAGGCTGGCAGGCGAGGACAGGAAGTCTTTGGGGCACAGAGGTCCTTGTGTGGTTTTCGTGGGCAGAGGTCCGCCATGGAGGCAGTAGTGGAGGAAGCCGAGAGGGCGGAGGAAGGGATGGGACGGAGTATTTGGGATCTTTTAAATCTGATGTAAAACAAATCTGCACCGGGAAAATTCTTACCACCATTTTAAACAACTCACTGATGGAGCTCCGTCTCAGATTTTATGTGTCTTGTCATTTCGACCCACGGGATCTTCAGTACTCACGTCTCAACAGACCTCCCAGGGAGGCACCAGGGAGATGGTTTGAGTCCGTGTTTTCTTCCGTTCTCTGTCACTTGCCTGGACTTCGCGTTAGTCCCTTGCTGTACACTTTGTGTTGCTCCGCTTATGCTTCTTAGAGTTGGGATTCTAGACTTGAAAGTCATCTTTGAAAGGTTTTAAAGTGATGAAGACTGAGTTGATGTGTACTTTGCTTATGTGAGTGCAAACGTGCTCAACAGTAAATTCTCCACGTGGGAAAAAAATAACAGTCTTTCACTTTCCACTCCTAGGAAGAATTCCTTTGGCTACCGGAAGAAAAGGGAGGAGAAGTTTACAGTGAGTACATAAAGCATATGCCTCTTGACAAGACATTTAAATCTAATTTATACCAAACCTGAGATTTAATTAAATGGATTAAGGTTAAGACACAAGAATGAGCGTTTCAAAAGACTTGTAACCTGAAATCTGCTAAATAATAACTGACACCCTGGCTGGCCTAGGAGGAAGCAGTTGTAGAGGTTTTGGAAATAGCGATGTGCTGCACGGGACTCCATCGTGCACAGGCGTGTGTGCTGTGGCATAGGCATGGCCAGGAGCTTGCTGTCACACGCACTGCAGCCTACACACGGGTGTGCACGTGAGCTCTTCTGTGTGGCAGCTGTACCGAAGAGTCTCAAAAGACTGGAGCCATTCATTTCAACGAGCAGAGTAAGCGTCTTCCACGGAGCAATTTGTTTGTTGGTGTTTTTCCTTCAAAACTTTCGAATACTCTCCTGCTGTGTAGAAAGCATTATCTCCTTCTGCTGTAACTTACTGGCAGGACAGACCAAACATAAGTGATAGGTTTTTGTGGCGGTAAGTACACGAGACGTGGTGATTTTGCTTGAGTTGATTAAACAGTTTCTCCTGTGGAAAATGTTTGTGCTGGTCTTTAGTGGAGGTTGGCATGGACTTCTCCACAGCCAGTGGTGGGACGGCACGGGGGCAGAGTTGGCAGTACCCACAGAGATAGGAAGGACGGCACAGTGGCAGTTAGCAGTACCCGTGAACCAGTGGTGGGACGGCACAGTGGCACGTAGCAGTACCCACAAAGATGGGAGGGATATGCCTCCACGGGCTTGCAGATGTGGAATTCCATACAAGGAATGCTGGAGAAGACCTGGACAAATCCTGGTCCAGCCCCTCAAGCCATCACACAGGTGTTTTCTCATCACAAAAGATACAATCTCTGTTTAGAACTCAGAAATTCTGCCTTTCATAAAGTCGGCTTAGTCTAGTTTTTGTTTAACTAGTTGGTAAGGCAGTTTATATCGGTTGATTCCATTTGGATTTAGTGAATTCCTGTAACCATTTGGACTAACAAGCCAAGCATTTAAACGTGGGGAACTGTTGTGCCTGCTGTGATGTTTTCCCGCCCCTGTTTCTGTTCCATTCCGTTTGCCTTGCTTTCCTGGTGCGTGTGTTCATGACTGACCTGCTTAGAAGCTTCGGTGTGTGGCCCAGTGTTGTACTGATTACAGAGCGTATGCCCATCGTTTTACGTACTTGCTCTCAGGACCTCAGAAAGGTCCAGATTCTTTTTCTGTAAGAGTGTGTGAGCCTCGGGCCTAACCACGCCCATGGGACCTGAGCAGTACTCAGACCTCACCCAGGGGCACTCAGATCCTAGAGAATTTTTAACACTGCCTTCCAAGTCAAGTCCCATCTGTCGGCGATGTCATTTTGTAACTCCAACATCTGAGCATTTGTTGCCTGTCTCTTTTGCTTCTACGAGTTGAGATTTAAATACGTTTTTTGGGAAGGCTGTCTCTCTAATGATGCTTATCTTCTGAAAAGCTGTGTTCACCTCAGAAACGTGCAGATGTTTAAAACCGCTTTGCCATCACAATGGCCATGTGTAACTTAGAGCTTTGCAGGATTATTTCGAGCATCATGTTCACAATACTAGGTTATAGAGAGCGTACAACAGCCAGCTGCTTAGTAGGTAACAAGCTTACTGCCAAGGACACCTAACTGGGAAAAGCTAAGCTAAAATTAGGCACCTGTCCCATGGAGCAGAGAAGCAAGTAGAATGCCCAACACAGACTGCTGGGGTTTATGTCACTGACTGGGATTTGTGTCAGCCTGAGTTCATTTTCATCCTTTGACCTGCTTTCACTTCTGATGTATTTTCTCTGGAATCTACTAATGCAGGGATTCACCTTCCTGTGTATAAATTTTGGAGAAACGTTGGCACTCTCAAGTTAGGTGGATCCCATGAGAGCTTTGCTTCCTGGTCAAAGTAGCTCATTGTTTCAACTAAAAATACTTGTATTCTTTAGTAAATATAAACTCATTTCTAAACTAAAATACACTCATTTCCCCATTCTGTGCCATGTGGCCTTCAGCCGAGGAACTGCGTACTCGCAAAATGACTGCCAGCTTGTTAAAGCGGGTTGATAGATCATTTTCCGATAAAAGGTATTACTGCCTTTCTCCTGAGATTTGGGCTTACAAAGTACACTCTCTTCTTTTGTACTGAGTTTGCTTTCTTGAAGTCAAAGAATCTGATTCGAATTTGTTATCAAATACTGTGTTTTTAATTATTAAAAAATATAACTTTCATTAAGTTTATTTTCAGAGAATTCAAGCCCCCTTCCCTTTTATTAAACCACTTTTTTGATGCACGTGTGTAAAATTTCTTACACAGGTTGTGGAGAGTGTCATGTATTGTTCACAGTTATCTTTGTGACTTGCATTAGAAACCATGCTGTAATAGCCCAACACTTGTCTGGAAGTGGGAAAGTTTAATGTCTAGACTCAGGCTGCCCTGCTTTCCATCACTCCAGAGCGCCTCCCCTGCCTTCAGCTGCCCCTGCTGTTTGTGAGTGCTGGCAGCCATGGCTGGACGGCTCTTGGGATAGCACCTTAGCCTCACTGTGTCCTTGGTGACACGTCTCTTGGGCAGCAGCATCTTGAGATTTCAGTTTTAAAGCTCTGCTCTAGATGGTTGAAGTTGCTTCAATTGGGTGACGAAGCCCTTGTCTGGGTTGAATGATCTGCTTGTTTCTACAGATATTTTCCAGACGGGTGTGGAAATGAGAAGCTGCGTGGCCTTCTCTCTCCACACCGTGACCCTGGGATGTCATTCTGTTGCAGAGCAGCCAGACACAGTCTCCGACGCCACCAAAGCCTCCGTCGCCAAGCTTCGAGCTGGGGCTGTCCAACTTCCCTCCATTACCTGGAGCTGCGGGCAATTTGAAGACAGAGGACTTGTTTGAAAACAGGCTATCTAGCTTGATAATAGGACCATCCAAAGAAAGGGTAAGGGATACATTGCATGTCTAATAGTTGCCAACAGTGTTTAGGTACGGGTTCCGTGTCAGGCGCTTTGCTAAGCTCTTTATACATGTTTGTTTTTAATACTCAAGAGAGGCTTGGAGGCCATGTGATTGCAGAGGTCGCCCAGATTTGGGGTAAGGCCAATCTTGATCCCAGGACTGGGCCTTCTCCTTAACCTTGCTGTCTGATGAAGTCAGAGGTAGAAACTTGTGCAATGATAGGCTATACACACCCTTTCTCTCACCCAGAAACTTAGATTGCATTGTCATTGTTGTTCAGACCTGCCTTTATTTTACAAAACAATAGAATGAAATAGAAGAACCTGAATAATATTGGAAATAAGTAAAATGTGTAGTCATCTACGTGAGACAAGGAGCAAGAAGCCTGGGAGAACCCCACTGTAGTGTGGGTGGCTTCTGGTGAGGTCTGGGCTGCCCCACGAGGTGCCCCCTCGGCTGCAGTGAACATCATCCCAGGAGTTGTCCAGAGCTGCAGTTGCCAGAGGACGCTCAGCCCAGCGCTCTGGCCTCTAACGTGCTTAGCGAGGTGAAGGTGGGACTTGTCCAGCTGCCACAGCTGACGTTTGAAGGCTCTGGGAAGTGCAGAGAAAGTTTTCTGCCCAGTTACCTCCTGTGCGTCGGAAGAGCCTGCTGAGCACTCCTGGTTGCTCGTGTCCCCTGTGCCGGGGCCCTTTCCCTGGCTGTGCCCCAGAGCCACCGCGTGTCTATTCCACGCCACGTGACCATGCGGCCTGCTCCCTCACCCAGGTCTGCAGAGTCAGTATCTCTTCCCCCCAGGCTTTCGGGAAGGCACCGCATTGGATAGAACAGTTCCTTAGTTCCTTGGGCAGAATTTCAGGTGGATTTTGATGCAGCATCTTTACACTAAAAGCCAGGTGACGTGTCTAGTCCTTTGTATATTGGTAGATGATCGTGCTCCTGTGTCCAACCTTGGGGACTGAGTACATTCCAGGATTGTCAACACAGCCTTAAATTTCCACACCATCATTTCTGAGGTATTAGTGCCTTGAGAAGAAATGCACATTAAAGATCTCGTTTTCCAACTGTGGCCTACTCTACCCTTGGTATTGAGTGGAGGAGAAGAGGCAGGTCTCCAATCCTGCTTCAGAAACAGCAGCTCCTGCTGTGCCCAGTTTGAGTTTCTGTGTAAGGTTTCTGTTGAAGAATGAATTGCTGCTTTGAAAAGCCTGACCCTGAGCCTCATGCCGCCACCCAGGTGTAGTGGGCTCCATTGCTGCTTCTCAGGAGCTTCTTGAGTCAACAGCGTGGCCCTTGGGTTTCAAAGTGGGGTGGAGGCTCCAGAAATGATGGAGTTCAGCCCTTCCCCTGTTGACATGGAGCTCGTGACGGTCACTCTGACTTGCTTCATGACCTGCAGTTGTGGATCTGCATTTCAGTTGCATTGGGACTGAATATAGCCTGAATGAATGAATGAATTAATGAATTAATTTAAGATGGAGTCTTGCTCTGGCGCCCAGGCTGGAGTGCAGTGGCATGACCTTGGCTCACTGCAGCCTCTGCCTCCCAGGTTCAAGCGATTCGCCTGCCTCGCCTCAGCTTCCCAAGTAGCTGGGACTACAGGCAGGCACCACCATATCCGACTAATTTGTGTATTATTAGTAGAGATGGGGTTTCACCATGTTGGCCAGGCTGGTCTCGAACCCCTGACCTCAGGTAATCCGTCCACCTCAGCGTCCCAAAATGCTGGGATTATAGGTGTGAGCCACTGCACCTGGCCCCTACCGTGAATTTAAAATGCGCTTTTACAAAAGGAGTCCTTTGCCATCCTGTTTCCACCAAGCTGGATTCCTGCTGGTCGAGCGTAGGAGTCACAGCAGATTCTGGTTCTCAGGCTGGAAGGGCTCTCAGTCTGTCGATAGCCTTCATCGAAGGGCAGAAGTGTGACGATCACCTGCCCTCCTGCCTTTTTTAAGTTGCATGACAAGTGTATCGTTACATCCCACATGCATAAGATCAAGCACACACGAAATAGCCACGGCCCAGGGGTCGCTGGCTGGAGTAAGGAGGGAGTAAGTTTCGCTCCGTCCTTAGCTTCCTGGCCTTGGATGAATTAACTTCGAGGTATTGGGCCTCAGTTTCCTCACCTGTTGAGATGGGGGCATTCGCACACCTGCTTCCTGGGGTTGACTTCAGGGAGGGCTGGGAGCTCACATTTATACGGGTGTGGAGGCGCCGATTGTTTTTTCTCAGCTGCGTGAATGAGTTGTGTTGAACTGTGTTAGGATTCGACACTCAGCAGATGTGCGTGTACTGTGGTGCCATGCCGTGCTGGGCCCAAAGTGCCAGGTGGGTGAGATGTGTTGGATGCCTGTTCATTTAAGAAATAAGCTTGCAGATCATCATTGCGGGAGAGGAGATAAGGCTTGTGATGTAAGAACAACGGGGCATTTGCCGAGAAAGAGAAGGGTGGGCGCTTGTGTGGGGCAGAGGATAGTCCTGGGCTCTTTGAGACATTTGTGCTGGAGAAGACCCTCCTCCCCTGTGTCCATGTGCCGCCCTCCCAAGGCTGTTCACGGGTGGGGTGAACGGGTATTGGTACCAGCTCCACTTAGTGCCAGCAGGACTCTGATGAAGACTCTTGACCCTGTTTCAGACCCTCAGTGCAGATGCAAGTGTGAACACCCTTCCGGTAGTGGTCTCCAGAGAGCCCTCGGTGCCGGCTTCTTGTGCTGTATCAGCAACGTACGAGCGATCCCCCTCCCCAGCTCATTTACCTGAGTGAGTATTGGAGTTCCCCCAGCGCCTTGGTGTTTACTGACTTGAATGGCCTGTGATGTTGCATGAGATTCAAATATTGGGTGGCATTTTTACAGTGATCCCAAGGTGGCGGAGAAACAGAGGGAAGCCCACAGTGTGGACAGACTTCCTCCCGCCCTCACTGCGACCGCATGTAAATCGGTGCAGGTGAACGGAGCCGCCACGGTACGTACCTCGTGCCTGCCTTCCTGCACGACAGCCGCGAGGCTCTGGTGTGAACAGACGCTGCGCACTCCTGCACCTGCTCGTTTTTTAATCACATCTAATTTGGTGGGTTTTTATTTGCGTCTGTCTGTGTTGTGTTTTCTGTACAAAATATGCTTAATATTTGCTAATAACTTTCCACTAACTGCTCTAGTTCTTTCACGGACCACCATGTAGTCCTTTTATTTCAGTGTTGGTCAGTAGAGGTTTCTTGAGTAGTAACAAGACCCCAGCTCCTGTTTCTCCATAGACTTTAGGATCATTTCAGCAATTTGCGCGTGTGTGTGTTTGTGTGCGTGTGTGTGTGCGCGCGCGTGTGTGTGTGTGCGCGTGTGCGCATCGTGTGTCTGATGAAGAGACAGGAAGAGCAAGATGGTGGCCCCACCAGCCTCCAACCCCTGTGGGCCCAGCAGGCCTGAACCCCAGTGACTTCCTTTCTGCTGTTTTCCCTGCTGGGTGAACCGTGGCCTCTCTTATTCTGAGTTGTGGCCTCTGTAGTTTGATCTTAGGTGAGCTTTTTACTTGAATTTGGGAGTTTAATCCCTTACTGTCCCCTGGGCTGAGTCTAAAAAAGGATTTTTTTATAGGTTAAAATTAATACTTTTAATAATAAATAATAATAATAAAAGGAGAGGCTGGGTACGGTGGCTCAAGCCTGTAATCCCAGCACTTTGGGAGGCCAAGGTAGGCAGATCATGAGGTCAGGAGATCAGGACGGTCCTGGCCAACATGGTGAAACCCCATCTCTACTAAAAATACAAAAGATTAGCTGGGTTTGGTGGTGGACACCTGTAGTCCCAGCTACTCGGGAGACTGAGTCAGGAGAATCACTTGAACCTGGAAGGCAGAGGTTGCAGTGAGCTGAGATTGCGCCATTGCACTCCAGTCTGGGTGACAGAGTGAGACTGTATCTCTAAAAAAAAAAAAAAAAAGCTAAGGGAAATATTTTACTTTTCTGTTGTTTAGCCTTTATGCTTCCACTTATCTGAAAACTCTGTTACACATTTCTTTGAAGATTTTAGCTGTCTTCATCATTCTTACACATTTCCAGTGCTTTGTAGTTTGAAATGTGCAAAACATTTTTATTTAAAGACTGTTTTTGGAGTTTACCTTTCAGGGTTGAGTACTGTGTGAGGGTCCTTTGCCCACCGTGGGCACCTGGGACACCCTTCTGTTGTCCCGAGGTGGCGGAGTGAGCGCAGGCAGCATCCAGACTCCTCCTGGGCTTCCGCGTTGCCCAAGCAAGCTGAGGGCTGGGTGGGGATGGCGTTCAGTCAGCACTCTTCTCCCTCACACCTTTTCTAGTTTTATCCATTACTACAGTGGCACAGAGGGAGTGCTACACGGCAGGGGAAACTAAATCATTAGATTTTACGAACTTTTTAAAAGTTAAAAACACTAGTGAAGATGGAAACTTAGTTATAGTTGAAAACTCTTTTAAGTGAACTTGATTACCTGTCTTGTCCCTGGAGACACCGTTTCACACAGGTAACCCAGGATTGTCTGTTTCCAGGAACTGCGAAAGCCCAGCTACGCAGAGATTTGTCAGAGAACAAGTAAAGAGCCTCCTTCTTCCCCATTGCAACCCCAAAAAGAACAGAAGCCAAACACTGTTGTTGGTTGTGGGAAGGAGGAAAAGAAGCTGGCAGAGCCCGCGGAGAGATACCGGGAGCCCCCAGCCCTCAAGTCCACACCTGGAGCCCCCAGAGACCAGAGGCGGCCGGCCGGGGGCCGGCCCTCGCCCTCGGCCATGGGGAAGCGTCTCAGCCGAGAGCAGAGCACTCCCCCCAAGTCTCCTCAGTGAAAACCGTACGTCTGGGAGGGGCCGCAGAGCGCTGTGTTAACCACAGACGACACTCAGTGCGAGGGCGAGCCGCTGGTTAGGAGCTTGCAGTGTCTGAGGCCTGTGGGATCCTCGAGTTGGTTTTCTTCTGTGAGTTGGATTCTCCCCCTCTTGAAAAAAAATCGATTTTTCAGGATTTAATTAATACAAACCTTATTTTAGGTTGGTGCTTAACTGGAGGTGATGCATAAGTCTGATTTTTTTTTTTTCCAAGATAGAAAAAGCATTTATCCTAACAAATTGGTATTTTTTATTAAGCCTCCATGTGGCTCTGAATGCAAGCTATATATAGTGAGTTTTTCTAAATTAAGGGAACTCTGCTACTTTTTTTTTTTTTTAGTAACTGGTCTGCAAGTGCATATCTCTAGAATGTCCCCGCAGATGAATGAGGGCCAGTGGCCTTGGCAGAGGCAGGTGTGGCCTCGTAGAGGCAGTGCTGGCCGCGCCAGGGCAACAGCGCTGATGTGGGAGCTGTGCTTCTACCTAAGCCGTTGGTAGGGGACTCTGGCATTTAAGAATGTAGAGAGCGCGTCCTTTTTGATCTCCTGGGCAGAGTGAACCTGCAGGGGCCACCCCAGTGAGACCTGAAACCTTGGTTCTGATGCACTGCAAGCAAGTAACCAGCTTCTCACTCCAGTTTCAAGTGGCTATTATGTAATATAAATTGAAAGCACATTGTGAATAGAACCTAAATGAAAACATACACTTGGTTGCCCACTGACATGTTACCAGAAGTTGTACCATGATGTTGTTTTGACCCCTGTGAGCTGACGGCCCCAGCCCTGCTCTGTGCACATTTCTGTCCGTGTTCCCCAGCACTCTGGTTGGAGAGAGTCCACATCTTCAGCTCCGTGTGGACATCTTCCCGTACCTCTGCATCAGCACATGGATTTCAGAGTTACGTAATCGTGAGAGAATGGTGTTTGTGGTTTTCCCCCTCTTTGGCTGGTGGAGGATAAAGTTCCTGCTCTTTTACCTCCAAGACGAGGGCCTCATTGATTCACTTCCAGAAGTGCTGCACTTCTGAAGAACAAGGATGCACTAAAGGTAGCAAGTTTATAATAAAGTTAAATATAAATTATTTTGTTTTAAAATGCCTCAAATTTTTCTTTAAGTATTCTAAGCAGCAAACATTAAAATAAGAATATTTCCTGCTAAATGTAACCATACACTTTATTCCACAAAATGTTATTTAACAAGACTGAGGGTTTTTTTTAAGAAAAAAATTATTTCCATCCAATATTTAAAGACTTGAATTTTATTTAAACTTGAAAATGACTTTGCCTTAACTTTTGTATAAGACAGCTTAGAGTCCATGGAGCCCGGCCCTGGGTTGGCGTGAGTGGGTCAGTTACTCAGTTACTGTGTGGATCTCCTGTCGCTGGTTTTACTGAGTAAGCGTAGTGTAGTACAAGAGCTAGCAGTAGTTTTTGTAATATACCTTAAAGATCTTCAACAGTTGATCTTTTTTCAGAATGTTGGGAAATCCTGTAAATGCAAATAGTCAATACTGTATTAAATACGTGCACTCGGAGTGTGCTTCGCTTGTACAGTTGTAAATAATCAGAACATATGAAAAAGGTACCTACAGAGAAAATTCTGATACAAATTATTGATATATTATAAATGTTGCTGTTGAGCTGGATGTAGATAAACGAAATGTTGTGGTTTGAATATTATTTTGATTTGTTGAGATTTTCTTTTTTCTCTTACATCGGTGTGTTGAGCTGATTCTGCCTCTTTGCTGCAAAAGGGAATTGGAAACTCTTATTAAAAGCCTCCAGATGTTTTCATACTCTTTTAAAATGTATGTAAATGCATACTAATCATATCTAACGTGAAAGAGTTTTAAAGTATGTAGAGAGCAAAAACTGGCAGGATCATAAGTGGAGGTGAAAAGTAATCTGATTAAAATCACTTGCAGCTAAGCATGATTTACCTGCCAGAGGAAAACATGCCTGGCATTTTTGACCATTTCCTTTAAAACAGTTGCTATTATTCAAATACAGAGAAACAGCCACAGGGCTAGTGTTTTTCAAATGCATTTTAAAGAAACATGGGGATTTATTTTTTTGTAGTTGTCAGTTCACTGACCAAAAAAAAAAGAAAAAAAAATCAGAAATAATTGATCGCTGAAACCCAAACTCTCAATATTCTAAAAGCTGGGAGGCAACCCCAAGGCCTGGCCTACGAGGTGCATCTTCGCTACAGAAGGACCAGGGGCGCCATCAGCCATTCCCAAATCACAAGGCCTGCGCCTCCGCCAGTGAGTCCTTGGTTTTTAATAATGAGAAGTCCTTTCCCCCAAGGTGTGAGCATTGCAGCGCAGTGTGTGTGTGTGGTTCGAGCCAGCTTAGTCCTTCACTTTGTTTGTCGGCTGAAGTGTGAGCTCAACAGCTGCGTGAAGAGGGCAGCGCGTGCGGTAGCCAGTCGCCACTGGAGGGCTCTGCTGCCATCCGGTCAATACACTGTAGTTACTGCCTAGCCAGCAGCAGTCTTTTGCATCAAGAGCAGAAACCTTGCTCGGATGCGATTTTTATAGCATCCTTTTTAATTAAACAAAGGTGAAACACAGATAGCTATATAATGTCCAGAAACCCCTGATACTATTTTGAAAGTGTCCACTCAGAAGAAAATGAGAGTTACCATAATGGGAAGCTGTGGTGGTCCACGCCGACTGGGCTGTGTCACATACAGCGATGAGAGTGGCTTTCATGCTTTTTTTTTAAGTTAACACCCTCCTTTACCCCCAGCAGTATCTCAGGTTATAGAATCAGAGATGCAGCAGCGACAAATGGCATTTTAACTTGTAAAATCGTGTGATGATGCTTATCATTTTGAAATAGAAGAATAAAAACCTGGCCCCGTTTCACCAGACATGAATTTCAAGTGGAGTCGTCGTTCTCTGAGAGCGAGTGTCTTGACATTTCCACCCAGGCCCTCCTGTCATCACATCACCGGCTGTCAGTGGCGGGTGGCAGTAAACGTCCTGCGTTGCTGTATTAGGATCTCTGCAGTTCAGGCTTAACAACCAGTTCAGTGTATCCGGGCGACGGGTAGCGGTGGTGCATGCCTGTCTGCGTGCCCCGCTGGCGAGCTGTAGTTGTGACTTGCGTGCCTCGCGGCCCCCTACCGGGCTGCAGACAATCGAGGCGAGGGCACTGGCTGCCGGCAGTCCACAGTGGGGGCCACGTGGAACGCTCCTTGAGGGTTTCGTTTTGTTCTGCTTCTTTTCATTAAGACTGGAATCAAGCTTACATGTAAACTATTGGTAATTTAAGTTTCCTTTGGTGTCATTCAGTGTAAAACTGTCTAATTTGAAAAAAAAAAATGTAGGTTATGAAAATAAAGATTTAGGCACTGTTCAATTTTTCTTTTGATTTTTTTTAAATTAAAATTTCTTCAAGAATCATCTTTTCTAAACATAGTTTTTTGTCTGTTCCCGTAAGTGTGCATGAGAAAGAAACGCGGGGCCTCATTAGATCCTAAAGGCTCCTCACCACGTGGGGGCTGGCTGCAGCACACGGGGCTCACCCTTTGTGTGTTAGGGGTTCAAAGTGAGCATTAGCACCAAGTGCTCATGGGGAGAGGGGCGTTACCATGACTGCCAAGATTTACCGCAAAAATAGATGTTCCTGTGTCAGGACTTTGATTCTGTTAAAATGGCACCGTCTCCCAAGCTGCGTCCATAAAGCCGTTTGGAGCTGACGCTGAGTCCTCACGGTGATGGACTGACTCAGCCTGAGGCAGCAGTGATGTCTGCACTAGGAAGAGGCTGGCGGGAGGCGGGGCCCCTCCTGTGCCAGGCACCGAGTGGATGGGGGACTGATTCAGATGTTGGTGCCTTCCTCCTTTGTGCATTGCCTTTTCATGTCGTCTTCCCATTTTTACTCTCTTTTTCTGATGGAATTGATATTCTTGATCTGTTCAGGCTATTAAGCCTTTGTTATATATGTTACAAATATTTTCTTTCCGTCTACCAGTTGTCTTAACTCTTAACATTATTTAGAATAGTGTCTTTTACAGTGTTTAATTATTATGTAGTAAAATTTATCAATCTTCTCCTTTGTTGTTTGCGTGTCTTGGACTTAAGAAGGTTTTTTCCCTACTCCAGAGTCATAAAGTTAATAGTGTGTGTGTGCGCGCCTTTAATCCAGCTGGGCCTAATCATGTGTGTGGTGTGTGTGCTTAGGCAGGAACCCAATTTTACTTTATGCCGTGTGGAAAGTGTCTTTTTCCAGTATCACCAGTGAGTTCACTGTCTCTCCACTGGTCTGCAGTGCTGCTTCTGTTACTTGCAGACTTCACACGTGTTCATGGGGTCTCCACCTGGGGTCTCTCGGGTCTCTATCCTACACTGCCTGTTTCCCTTTCTGTCCTAACACCATAGCGTTTAACTCACCTGGCATCCTGTGTTGCTGAGAATTTCCTTCATAGAACTCATTGCAGTGTGATCAACTGTGCTCCCTGAGGGCAGGAATTATGCCATCTGAATCACCAGCTTCTCCCTTGTCCTCAGCACGCCATCTGCAAATTAGCAGATACTCGGTAAATGTGTATTAACTCCAAGTGTATTTTGTGCCTTCTCTGTGCACAGCCCTGCCCTGGGAAGAACTAGGATGAGGTATTGATTTGCTGTTGCCACCTAACAAATTCTGCCAGAACCCCCTGGATGGAAGTGACCACCGTGTGTCTGTGGATTGTCTGCAGGGCTCTGCTGGGGTCAGCAGGTCCCACAAGAGAGCCAGGGCTCGGTCTCCTCATGGCGGTTAGAGATGTGCAAGACCCCAACCCCAAAGGTTTATGTATTCCGCCCCCACCCCCGACACTTTGAAATTGTTGTATTCCGTTCTTTGCTATATCTACATATTTTAATAATGCAGAAATCCCATGTTTCTCTAAAGCATTGGATTGAACCAACGGAAGGAGTGCGTTGTCGCTGGTTGTTGCAGGTGTGTTGCTCGTTGCTTGTGTGGCTCGTGTGTCACTCGTGTGTCACTCGTTTGTGTTGCTCGTGTGTCGCTCGTTCGTGTGTTGCTCGCTCGTGTGTCGCTCGTTGCTCGTGTTGCTTGTGTGTGGCTCGTGTGTCGCTCATGTGTCGCTCGTTTGTGTTGCTCGTGTGTCGCTCGTTGCTCGTGTGTCGCTTGTGTGTTGCTGGGCCTGGTGGGGCACAAGCCGTTTCCAATCCAAGTCAGCTGCTGGTCTGCTTAGACGAAGGTGTGTGGGTGTCTCCACCATGTAGAGGAGGGACAGCAGGTGATGCCGTAGGCCAGGAAGGAAGGGCACAGCCTAAGCGTGCGGTGGCTTAGCCAGAGACCCTCGTGCGCCAGCCTTCAGGTGCTTACGGAACTTGTGTCAGCCCAGGCCATAGCCAAGTGTGTGATGTCTTGGAGCATCTATGCCAGGCCAGCCAGAGAGGCTAAGCCCTGCCCTAGTGGAGCTGGAGGGCAGGAGGTTATGAAGAGGATCCTGATGCAGGCAGGGTCACCCTGCAGGCATGAGCCTGGGAGCACAGGCTGAGCAGCTCCACCCAGAGGGGCTTGCAGGACCAAGCTGGGACAGCAACCACCAGGCCCGGGGGCGGATCAGTGAGCGTCCGGGAGATGGAGATGCAGAAGAGAGCCAAATTCATTCGCCTCTGCGTGGGCCTGGGAGGGCCTACAGAGATGCAGTTTCATCCACGACCAGGATTTCCTCAGCTGGAGCAGCCGCGTTTCCCAGCTGAAGCTCACTGTGTGTATACTGCATAGAATGTGAGTGTACAGAAGGGCTCTCTCTAACGTTAGCTACTCGTGCAGAAATGTGGGGAGCTTACAAGTGTGGGCAGCCGCAGTCTGTTCCTCACCCCCGTCCTGACAGGACGTACTCTGCGCGTGCACGTTTAGGGTCACCATGTCTTCCTGTTGGACTGATCTGTCATTAGGACCCTGGACCGTAGTAATTGTCTTTGAAGTTTCACTTTGATAGTAACAAAGCCATTCCAGCTCTTTCCTTTTCACTCCTGTCGGTGTGATGTGCCGTTTTTCATCCTTTGACTTTTCAGCCCGCCTGTACCCTATCTGAAGGGAGCTGCTTGTGGACAGCACGGACTGGTGGGTGTTTGTAATCCGCTCTGCCAGCCTCCGTCTTCTAACTGTTGCGTATGGACCAATTACATCTGCCCTTTTGCTGTTTCCTGCTGCTCTGTTTCTTTTTTCCCTTTGCCTTCCTGGGGATTGTAATTTGCCAGTTCTCAGCCCTCTGGTGCTCTCAGCTCCCAGCTGCCCTTCCCCTGCTGCTGCGTCTCCCCTTTCCTGAGGCCAGCGGGGGCAGTGCCCTCTTCAGTGTCTGCACTTTGCTACCGGGTAGTTTCTTCCAGGCCCGCACCTTCCGTACCAGCTGTGTGCATCAGCCTGGAAGCACAGAGGCCCCGGTCTGGGCCCGGCGGCAGGTGCGACGTGCGGTCGCCTGCAGAGGAAGGCAGAGCTCCATGCTGCTGTCGGGCGGGCCATGCCACCATGGTGGCAGCGTGCTTGGCAGGCAGCAGGAGTGCGTGGCAGCCGGGGGATTGCAGCCAGACATCTTAACCTCGGGGTGGGGGTGGGGAGACAAGGGTTTCTTTTTGTGTAGCTTTGGGAATAAAAAATTTGCCAGTAAATTTCACATCTTATTGGCCAGATTTAGCACCCAAACACCATCACGGGGAAGGGGCTTTCAGGCCAGTGAGGTCCATCCTGGGCTTGGGGGTGGGGTCAGCTCCCCCAAGGTGCATGGTGACAGCAGAGGTGGGTCCCTGAAAAAAATGGGGGCCATTAAGAAAGAAAGGGTAATACATCCACTCAGTACATTCGAGCTCCTCAGCCCCAGCCTGCTCAGCCTCCAGCCCATGTCTCACTGTGTCCTTGGCGTGGCCACCTGCGGTCAGTCCATATCTCAGATGGGACCACCCACCCTCTGGCCTGGATCCTCCTGCTCCTCACAGGAACCCGATCTCCACAGGCAGCCCCCACGCAGACAGGCACCCCCAAATCCTGGGCCAGCCTTGCTGCTTCCCCAGGTCCCTCCGAGAGTCCTGCCCACTCTTGCCTCCGCCTTGTCCAGCCCGGCCATCTCGTCCCTGTTCTCCACTCAGCCCGAGGGTTCCTTTGTGGTAGTGACCGCGCCCTGTCCCCTTGCTTTAAACCTCCAGTGGTTTCCTGCAGGAAGGAATAAGGTTTAGATGCGCACCTGCAAGTCACTCCCTAACCCACCTGCAGCTTCATCTCTGACCCCACACTCTCCGCCCACACTGCCTGGGACCTGCTGGCCCCTTCCCGTGGAATTTCTCCCACTTTTCGCAGAATATTTCTCCCTTCCCAGGGATGCCTGGCGCCCTCTCAGACAGCCGCCTGTCACCTTCCTCCGTCCCTGGCTGCTTCTGCAGCACTGAGCACCGTTTGTAGTCGTCTAATTGGTCTGCTTCCGGCGTGAGCTCCGTGGACCTGGCAGCCGCGAATGCCCTTTCCCTGGGTACCTGCAGCACCCCCTGCGCAGGGGACGCTCCTGGGTCCATTCCTAGCCCGGTGTCCAGACGCTGTGGACAGGTGCCAGAAGCAGCTCCGCAGAGGCCTGGCTCAGCCCGTGCAGGTGGAAGTCCTCCCGGCTTGCGCGCTCCTCCCCTCCCTGCGTGGGGTGGCCTCACCACGTGCACCTGACGCGTCTGTGCCGGCCTCTCCCACCATCGCTGCTTGCGCCCTGGATCCCTGTCCACCTTTCTCCACGCAGCAGCCCCGGGGGTCCTTTTAGGGAGGCACCCGCGCACCTCGCTCAGAGCAGAGACCAGCGCCCAGGCGGCTGGCCGGAGGTTGGGCCCCGCGCCCTCAGCGTCCCCTGCACCCTGCGGGCCCCCCACGCGCCCTCCGCCTCCAGCCGCCCCTCCAAGGCCCTGGAGCTGCCTCCTAGGAAGTAACCTGGAGGGAGAGGTCAGGAGGGATGGGAAGAGCCCCGGGCCACGTGGGAGATGGGGGAGGGCAGGAAAGAAACCAGGGTGGAGCTCACCTGGGTTCGTGGTGTTGACACTGCAAACTGGGGAGGTGGGGAGAGAGGAGCCCGGGAGAGGAGAGGCAGGGTTCCTCTTTAGCCAGAGGAGCCCAAAGTGACGGGAGGATGTGGCCCCAGCCAGGGTTCAGGGGCTCCAGCCGCGGGCTGCATGCGGGGGATGTCACCAGCACCCACTTTGGCCATGGGAAGCCATCATGTCCCAGATTCTGAACATGGAGTTTTATGGTGCCCTTGACAAGAGCAGTTGTAAACGAGGATTTAAATAAGCATTTTCCCCAGGTGAGGAGAATCGGCACAGCTTGAAGTGTGAGGCACTGGCACTCCTGTGCAATTCCGCACTGTGGACGGT